CGCGTATAATCCAGTATAGAGAATCAATACACCCATAAAAACTACAACACCGATTCACCCACACCCCCATCCGACTGGTCAACTCAAGTCGCATTGCCGAAAAGAGATTCCTACCACAAAAACTCACCGAACCTCGAGTGCTCATATGAACAACCTTCATGAGTACCATGAGGATGCTAGGCTATTATAATGCCCAGCAATGTACTACTACTCCTTCACATCATCAACCATGTTAATAGACTCGCTTGGCTGGAGGTACATGATGCATCTCGCTGTCTAGAGGCTGATCCACCACTGGCCTATACTTCAATACGATATCCGACTCCTCAACATGAGGCTTAGTCTGATATGACAGGGAATGCTTCATCCACTTCTTGTCATCCCTCTCAGTGAAGTCCTCTCGGGCATGTGCTCCACGGGATTCCTTCCTGGCCTCACCCGATACAATCGTTTGGGCTGCTTGTGTGATAAGGTTCTCCAGCTCGAGGGTCTCGATAAGATCTGTATTCCAGACTAAGGTGCGGTCCTTGATGCCGACGTCCTTGTATTCCTTCATAATTTCACGTACCTCCTCACACCCCTTTTTCAGGTCATCTCCATTTCTGTATACAGGAGCACGCGTCTGCATGGTCCTCTGAAGCTTGCTTCGGAGATCAGCAGTTGACACCGGGCCTTTGGCGTGACGTATCTTATCGAACCTGTCAATGGTAGCCTCACCGGCGTCCTTAGGCAGAGTGACGGGCGGTGAGTTTGGCTTCACGATTTCGGCCACAGTATCGGCAGCAGTACGACCGAATACGACCAAGTCCAGCAGAGAGTTGGCCCCCAACCTATTGGCACCATGGACGGAGGCAGAGCCAGCCTCACCAGCAGCCAGCAGACCAGGGACGATCTTGTTGGGGTCAGACGCGGTGGGATTAAGGCACTGGGCCTTCCAATTTGTAGGGACTCCTCCCATATTATAGTGCACTGTAGGCAGGACCGGAATATGCTCCTTAGTCACATCAACTCCAGCAAGATCTTAGCCGTCTCTGAGATACCAGGCAGCCTCTCTCTGAGAGTCTCGGC